GGGTACAGCCAGCAGACCAGTGGGACTCGCCTTTTACATTTTTCTTGCGTACGAACATCTGCGCATCATCTATTCCCTGGTACCAGATACATGCTCTTCACTCATGAGGGGTGCCCCTGTGTTTGATGTGCCACAGAGGAATAAATGAAATTTGCCAAAATATCAGATGTGGGATCCACAGCCATCCACTGCTGGCCAGGATGCTCAGCCCTTGGTCAAGAGGGTGCCTGACCATGGCTCATCAGATGACAGGCGTCTCTAGTGCTCCCTGAACTGAAGAAAATGGCAAAGAACTTTTGTATCTAAAACTGCGATGAGGTCAATGCTGCCCTGTCCGGATCAAATAGCACTTGTGAAGTGCAGCTCTAGATAATAGTTTCAAATCAACGTAGGTTTGAAACTATTTACTTAAGCTATTCTAGTGCTATTAAGTGCTATTAATATGCAAATATTTTCAGTATACTGCAAGCTGCATGATTTAGTATTGGAGCATGTCGACATCCATTCATGCTGTCAATTTTGGGAATATTCCGTTAAAAGTTGAGAAAACGGTGGCATTTTAAACTGTAATGGGTCCACCAATAGTGTGGAAATGCCAATGTGACCCCAAAACGTTCATTTTCTGCCCAGCGGCCATGCTTCGTTTGAGGGCAGCTACCAAATGAGGAAGTCAAGTGTCACTCCAGGAGCTGTCATGGGGCGGACATCTCCTATGACCTTGAGTGGACCTCAAAGGTTTTTGACGCTGTCGTTTCCGATTCTGGCCTTGCTTTCTACTTTTGGTCCATTCCTGTTAATTAGCAAGTATCCTTCATAACTGCAATTTAATTCTGATGAAATTGCCCCAAGTTTGGGACTGAGGAAGCATATCAAACTAACAGGTAGCTAATGTGTGCATCAATTGTTGTGCGTTGAAGCGGTGGGGAGGGCAACTTGTTGCCATTGCTGGGTGGTAGGTCGTTGGCAGTCGAGGCCAACGCAGACAGAATCATGAGCCCACCGACGGAATCAGGGTTTTCCATCACTACGCAGGCGCTCTTGGTGTATTACTGATGCAGTTTTAAGATTCAGTGTTCTTGAGATAAGGGGAGCATCAGTCCATGAGGTCGTGGACGAGCAAAGTGGCTCACGTTTGCGTTTTGCAGAAGCCAGGGTGTAGGAAAGCAACTGCTGCACATGGCCTGGTGAATGTTGGCGAATGGGCTTATTTGGGAAAGGAGCGGAGGCACTGCGGTTACAGCATCTTTGGACGAGTCGAGTTCGATGTCGGAGTCCGATCATCAGAGCAAGAGACAGTCTTCGAACTCTCGAGATCGGCGTGCAGCATCGGAATGCCCCATCCAACTTCGGACTCCGTGGATGTCCGGCGGTGTTTCAGACCCGGACCGGGGTTGCGAGTTTTGACACCCGCGCTGGGTTCTCATGGGATGGACTGGTGCATTGGGAGCGGTTCCTCTCGTCGACAACCTATGCAGCGCATGGTGGCCTGCTTGGTTTGCCAATTGTGTGGTGTCTTGTTGCCCTTAGGGAACACGCCCTGGTGTTCCGACCTATGCGCTACGTCTCACAGGCTGGGATGGGTCGTGCGTGGAGGGCCATGGGATCCCCCATCACGCGCGTAGCCACGCGCAAGTGCCTCTTTTTGTTAAGAATGTGTGGCTGCGCTTGGTCTTTCCCTGCCCCATGGACTCTGTTCCGTATCGTTGGCGGCTGGAATTTGGCTTGTGGCTTGACTCCGCGCCTCGTGCCTAGGAAGGACAGGGCCTGCTGTGGTGTGCTGGATGGCACTGCGATGGCACTGCGATGGCACTGCGATGGCACTGCGATGGCACTGCGACGGCACTATGATGGCACTGCGACGGCACTGTGATGGCACTGCGATGGCACTGCGATGGCACTGCGACGGCACTGCCATGGCACTGCCATGGCACTGCGATGGCACTGCGACGGCACTGGGATGGCACTGCGATAGCACAGCGATGGCACTGGGATGGCACTGGGATGGCACTGGGATGGCCTCTGGGATGGCACTGCGATGGCACTGGGATGGCACCGGGATGGCACCGGGATGGCACTGCGATAGCACAGCGATGGCACAGCGATAGCACTGTGATGGCACTGCGATGGCACCGGGATGGCACTGCGATAGCACAGCGATGGCACAGCGATAGCACTGTGATGGCACTGCGATGGCACTGGGATGGCACTGCGATGGCACTGGGATGGCACTGGGATGGCACTGCGATGGCACTGGGATGGCACTGGGATGGCACCGGGATGGCACTTGGATGGCACCGGGATGGCACCGGGATGGCTCTGGGATGGCACTGGGATGGCACCGGGATGGCACTTGGATGGCACCGGGATGGCACCGGGATGGCTCTGGGATGGCACTGGGATGGCACCGGGATGGAGGACGCGACGCTTGCGCCTATCCATGGATCGGCCCCGACCGCCTGGACATGCAACCACGAAGAAAATTAGACCTTCGGCCATCTCCCTTTGACGCGCACACACAGATAGCACACATACACCCATAGAGAAAAGCACATGCACCTTGCGTTGCTCTGCAATGCAGCCCACACGCGCACACACACATGCATTCAGTGCCCATTCAACGCAGCACAGGCAATCAGTTGATCACCTGGCCATGAAACGCACCTTCAGGCCATGCAGCGGTTGGGTTCTCCTCAACTGTCCAAAGTGGTGATCAGCCGCTAGGTTAAGGTCAAAGCGTTGCCTTCCGTCTGCAAAGCACGCATCCCGAACGGCCCCGTTACCTGCGCAGCAACGTGTTGCTGCAGGTTGAAGAGCGCGGGGGCAGAAAGGCGGCGCGTGCACGGCTGGCCAAGCTTGAATTTGGCCCTCAATTTGGAAACGGCAGACGATGACAAATCCAGACCTGCGGCAAGCGCGCCCCACAGGCCTCCAAGGCGACACGCCTTAGAGTTGGTGCAAGCAAGAACTGTGCGCTTTGAGCCACGCTGGGGCCCTTGGCCCTGGAGATGTATGCAAATCGCCAACCTCGATTGCGATGCGCATTCGGTGTTGAAAGACAGCAACCAACCACGGGCTCCCGCCATCAAACAAAATTGCATACCCAGGATCCCTGTTTCCAAGGCGACAAACCCCATTCCTTGTGTCCCATCCCATAGCATGCAGGAGCCACCACTCTCTGTGCCACAAGGATCCCCGTCCCAGCGAAGCGAAAACCCTTCTAGCGAGTGCAAAACAGGAAAGCCACTATCTGGCCAAAGCCGCCCTTTGGGACCGTGCCCCTCCACCAATCAGACAAATCTCTTGAATCGCAGTGACAGCCGCTCCACAGAATCGTACACGGGCTTTGCGACAAGGCCGCCATCCCTTGCATTGCTCCGGGCTAGTGGATCCAGGGTTTGTGTTCGTTCCCAGTTACGCTCTCCTAATCGACCGAGCTCAGGCACAATTCAAATTCATAGTGAAGAACCCACCTGCATGAGCTGCCTTGTGCTGGGCGTGCTGTCCACTGCACAATGAGACGGCCGCTTGTCTCCTTCCGCCACACGTGCCAGTTGGCGCTGAGCGGCCCGATCACTCACTGATGCCCGGTTCCAAGATTGTGTGCTTGACAGCGTCAAGGCATGGCGCCTCCGACGATCGAAGAGGGACGGATGCGGTCAATATTGATCGGAGGCGCTCCGACGTCGGACTCCGAGAATTCTGTTACCACATTGAGAGCCCACAAGCACGACATGTGATCAGGCGATCTGATTTGCAGGCGTAGGGGGCTGCCATGGGTCACGCCCCAAATAGACGTTCCCACTTGCCGCCAAACCTCCAGCCAAGCCCAAGGGCCAGATTGAACGGTCCCCTTGTCTGCGCCTAAGTTACAAGGATCACCCGGTTGTCCCTTGGATCCGGCGGTCGGCACTAAATCCGGGTACAGGGGTGACAGAAACCGGTATTTGATGGTCCTGAAATGGTCCAGAAAGGCCGCTCGGCCCAGGCAGGCAGGTGCGCACCCACCAACGTCGTCCTTGGCAGAAACTCATTAACAAGATAGTTGAGTATATAAACGCAAACGTAAAGATCAAGCTCGCGTGGAAGCATTCACCATGGCAGGTGTTGTGAGTTTTGCCCCTTGTAACCAAGAACTGGGCATGCAGCCGTGGGCATAACCACGTAGCAACCAAAAATTGTCGCTTGCGGCTGTCTCCAAGATCAAGGCTGCATACTTTGGGGACAACCAAATAGGGCATATGGGAGCAAACAAGACTTGAACAAGGCGCACGCAGTGAACGTGAGAGTAGATAGGAGAAGGTGAGTATTTTCCCTTGGCACGGACGACTCAGCGGCTTTGAAACTGGACATCTCCTCCTTCCCGCTCTTCCTAGACCACTCGCATGTCCCTGTGCCGCAGCACACCTCATGTGCAAGTTATCAATAGACAATGTAATATGGCAGGAGGCAGTGCCTCATCACTTCTCTGCCCCAATGAATTGCCGCCAATTTGGATGTGCCCCAGACTTGCAAGGTTTTGATCAACTTTGACGCTCGTCTGATCGCTGTTGCTTGATGCACAAGGTCAACAATGTCAGTCGCCTTTATCCGGAAGAAGTGCAATATTCACAAATATTCACAACATATTACATCTCTGGTCCGATTTCGCAAAACCCAGCCCGCCCAAACTGAGAGACACACTAGCAATAGCGGTCAGGCAGGACCCGCTGAAATGCAGGTATTTTACTGAAAGCTCCAATTTCTATTTCCGATGCGAGCATGGCCAGAGAAATCAGGACCAGGCGACCATTAAGTGCCTTCGGGTCGAAAACCTAGCCAGCATAATCAAGCAATTAGGTCATCATCTCAAGTCACAAGACACAAATTTTCCAACGTTTTATAGCCACACCTCCACCCTCAAATCCGGCAGCAGCACCTTTACCCACTCAAATTTACGCGACGAATCTCAATGCGAACATCGCTTGAGTTCCACATGGTGTGCCCGCATGATGCCGTGGCCATCATTTGACGATGTGACGTGTGACGGCGACCGGCATCCCGTCTTTCGGGTCATTTGACGGAGGCAAGCCAAATTCTGGGTACAGATTCTCGATTGATATGTCGAAGTGTCTGGCCAGAGTGGCCAGAAAAATCTTGGACTCCATGATGGCCAGGCTCCTGCCTAGGCACGTGTGGGGCCCCAGACCGAAGGGCATCCACGCTCCTGGCTTGCGACCATCCTCTGTGAGGAACCTGTTGGGGTTGTAGGTATCTTGCTGCCCAGTCCACCTTCCGTCCTCGAACTGGGTGGCGTGGCCGATCTGCGCCGCCATCAAAGTGGCAGTCAATTCACATTCGATGTCATCAGTTTCGTCCGTTTTCTTTCCGCAAAGACTGAGTACCCAGACAAGCGATATACAATGCACTCAACAGTGCTTTGTCCTAGCCATCGACACTAACTAGTTCAGCACAATCACAAAGCGAAACAGCACATTTGCCCAAAACACAGTAACATAAATACCTCCACAAAATACCACAATACAACACAACAAATTACAGCAATACAATGAATCAGTAGTCTAAATGCAAGTTAACACCACCGCACCACGAATTTTAAAACCCCATCACGGACTGAAGGACGCGCCTGCAGAACCAAAAACATAAAAAAAGGGGACCATAGCGGCGATCGGCCAGCCCCACCAGCGGAAAGGCCGTCCACCCGACGGGCACCCTCACGCCCTCCATCTCAAACTCCCTCGCCACCTTGCGCAGCGGAAACAAAACGGGTGGCGTAACTCTCAGGACCTCCTTCACGCACGCCTCCGCATAGGTCATCGCCTCCAAGGCCTCTGGGCCCATGTATGGGCCGTGGGCAGCCATGACGGCCGCCTGCTCCTCCCGCAGCCTCGTCAGTATCTCGGGATTGCGTCCAAGCTGAAGCAAGAGGTGGGTGAGGGTATCCGCGGTGGTGTTGTAGCCCGCGAGCATCAGGAACAGCACGTGGTCGCGTATTTCGTCCTCGGTGAGCCGCTCGCCTGTGGCCGAAACGCACTGGCGTCAAATTGTCAGAATCATGCAGTTTTCGCTCGGCAATTCAACTGCACTAGATATGGTACTTTGCATTGGTACTTTGGATACCTTGGATATTTTGCATACTTTGCATTGGCACGTTGCCGATATTTTACATTGCTAAATAATTTGAGATGGAGAATAAACAAGATAGCAGAAAATGACAACAAACATGAGACAAGACAATTGAAATTAGGACCAGAATCCTGCACCCCGACTTTGCTGCCTTGTCCATTTTCTTAAGTTATCATGCATCGAAACTGATTGCTAATCGTGTCTACTCTCCATGTTCCTTGAGCCATTGCCTTATGCAAAAGGCCCATTGCATTTCTGCCATGATCTCACGTCCACAGAGCATGGAATGCGCCCACATAAATTCAGCAACCTTGGTGCCTGTCTCCTCGAGTCAGAACAGCACAACCTCATTTGGCTCATTCAATTCGCGTATATCCAGTTGGGCGACAGTGGGAGCCCATACCTGTATCTGTGCGCGTTCATTTGGTTTTCCTATTGACTGCCTGGCCACCCAATTAAACCCTATTTTATTAATTAACCCCTATTGTATTGAGTAATCCATAGGCTAACGTTTGCAGCCCACACAATGATCGCATTTTCAATGGGTGGATCGCTTGTGTGAATTCCGCTGCAGCATGTGTCAAAGGCACACAGCAAGGCCCTCATACCTGGAGAATCGATGATAGGCAGTGGAGGAACCAAGCAGCATCTGTTCGTGTTCCGTGCAATCATAAAGCCAAACTGGCGTCAATTTACACCATGTAATGTAAATGTAAAATGTAAATGTAAATGCAATGTACAATGTAATGTAAAGTAAATGTAAAATGTAAATGCGAATGCAGCGGTCAGCGCCACGTGGCGGGTCACTTGTGTCTCAATGGCCGCCAGCTTTGGCGATGGGCAGGTCAATTTTCCACCACCAGCTGAGAGGCTGACCAGCCAATAGTCTTCATCCAGTTGACAAATGGGAAGAAAAACGAAGATTTTAGTTTTGTAAGGACAAGGATTTCATGTGGATGCAGTGAGTGTCGCATCGAATGTACAGTGGATGACTGATATTGTTTACACGCCATGTGTGTGCCATATTGCCGCATACCACTTCAATGAACACACACGCAGATGTATGGCAACAAGGTGTTGCGTTACGTGGACTCCCATCCATGCCAAAATGAACAAAAAATAGGATGGAATGGTGACCATCGTTGCCCTAAACGTGCAAGAGCATTGCCTGGTTGATTCTTAAAAACATTCAACTGGATTGCAGCAGAGGTGTGCAACCCACCCGTCTCTGGATCTTGAAACGTCTGCAGTTTCTCCAACAGTTTGGGTCCCTCGTGCCCTCCTCCATGTCCCCCCAATGCCCTCTTCCCTTCCTCTAGTCCCTGATTAACTGACTGCACCAGCCGCACCTTTGCACCCACCGCTCTGCCATATTTCGTGAGTGGCCCCAGATTGATGCCGAATGAAAACAGGCCATCAAAGTAGCTCTGGAAATCTTTCACTAGCTGGTCTTCCCCAATAGCCACATCCAGCCCAATGATAGCATGGCTGATGACACATAAGGTGAACCGCTTCACCTCCTCTGAAAATTTTATGGATGGCTGTTTGGCCCACTTGGAAAAGAAGTCCATTGCTGCAGCCTGCGAAGCCGATCGCTGGATCAGTGGCTTGTGAAGCAAAAGGATCAATCTGTGGAGCACTGCTCATGGCATTACATGCTCCAAGGGAATATGTTGCAATTGATCAATCTGCATGTTATGACATGCCTCAGGCCCACAGGCCAGCGTGGTCACAGGAATGACCAAACCCCAACTGCTCCAATCCCCTAGCAAGCTCCGCATGTCTCCTGACATTTGCCATTCATGCCAGAAACATTGTATTTTGCTCTTCCATGGCAAGGTGTGAAGGTGTCCACAAATCTACAACGGTGCGGACCCATCGTTAAATGAGCTAATGCTGTCCAAGCAGAGGGGACATTCATCTATACCTTTTATCAGAAGAACAACAGAATCATTACAGCCTGCACATTGGATCACCAGATCGCATTTCACACTCGCAAGTGCATGCATCTGTGTTTGGTCCATGAAGACTTGCTTCCAACAACATCAAATCCTCAGCATCTTCCCAACAGCAAGGAATGCAAAGCAGACAAATGACGATTTTTAGGTACCTGAAAGCGCCCACTGTTGCCTTCCCATCAAGCCCATCCACTTGCCATTGAGAGCAAATCTTTGGGTGACACAACTAATGCAGTTGCTGGAGCTGTGCCTCATATGGACCTCCAAACATAATAGCAAACACATGAACAACATATTGACAAATATATTAACTATCATGGATGTTGAGCATTTCAAGACAATGTTTCCTTGCACCGATTCAACAGCTGTGGCCTTTTCGCAGATGTGGGTGCCTTGGATGGCAGGGTTGTGCACAGCCACGATAAAAGCCCAGGTGAGCCACAAATGGGACGTGATGACCCCACGCTCTGTGGCCACGACTCGTCAAGAAATGGCCTCAGCACTGGCGCCCATTGCTTCCTATCACGTTGATCCAAAGAGAAAACGAGCTTGAACCAAGTTGGACAACACCAAAGTGGTTGCTGCGGACAGGCACCTACGGGATGTTGCGTGGTGGAAGCATCCGCAGTACAGCTGGGCGAGACAAATACCAAGAACATGCCCAAGAGCGACCATCAATGTACCCAACCAAAAGGTCCCCAGGCAACAGAAGCCACAATTCGAATCAAGTCTCATGCCACCGGAGTGCCCGACGCCCACTTCAACATCCGCCCCCTAAGTAAATGTTTCCTTGCCTTATGTGTTGCGTTGCGTGCTCATCATTTTGCACCTGAGGCCCTAAGTCATCTCATAACAGCGTGTAAAGGGGTCTCACATGCAGTTGCTAGAGAGGGGGCGTCCTTTGTATGACCTGTTTCTCTCTTTGTAACAAACCTCACCCACCTGAATGTCCGGGATGTGCGTGCAGAGAGCGTCCAGGGTGAAGCTGGGGTAGGTGAGCCTCCGCACCCGCGCATGCTCGGCCCCGTCCAGCACCCCCAGGCTGCTGGGCCCCATCAGGAACCGCTGCGCCTTGCTCACCACCATCTCCAGCAGGTCCGCCTCCTCCTGCAGCACCCGCCTCAGGTTGTCCTGCCCGGAGATGAACACGCAGTCGAAGCCGAAGAGCTTGCACCGGCAAACGGGGCCCAGCTCGTCCACCAGGCCCAAGGCGAACTGCGTGGGACCGGTCGCGAATTTGAAGAAGTCCCCGATCAGCGGGGGGCCTCTGGACATCGGCGGCAGCGGCAGGCCGTCCAGATCCTCCTCAGCTGATAGATATTCCCGACGGCGTTCATTGGCCACTTGCATGGGGAGGGGCCCCCGTCGAGATGATGCATTTTTATGCGCATGCCTTGGCTGCGGTGGAGACGGAGATGGATTGCAGGGACGGCTGTGGGAGCCGTGGGCGGCTGTGGGGATCGCCGTGGACGCCTTGCAACCGACTGGCAGGTTCATTTTCGCGGGTGGGTGGGACGGCGATGGCTGGGCGGGATTGGGTTGGTCACCCGCTGGTGGATCTTTCAGGCCGCTGGAGGCAGCTGCCCTGTGCCGCGCACAGCGTTGACTGTGGAATGATGTCATCCAACGCCGGTAGCCTGCGAAGCAGGGGGAGGGGAGGGAGGGAGGTCAGGTAAGGGTTGGGGGGAGTCGGTGCAAGCAGTCACCGATTTAGTGCAGAAAGTCACCGATTTGGTGCAGCCAATAATTGTATTGGGGGGGGGGCACGCGCAATGACGGCATGCAGCATGGTGACATGCAGAATGATGGCACGGAGGTAAATAATCAAACCTGTGCATAGTAACATAACGCTGGGCACTTTTCTGCGGAGAAAATTAATAAGAAAATAAGAAAATAAGAAAATAAGAAAATAATAAGAAAATTGATAATGCAACGCTTGGCCTTTTTGTGTGGAGCGACATAGAGAAATAAAACAGCGCTCTGAAAACAAAAATGCGGGGTAAAAAATGCAACGTTAAAATTTCTGATGCGAGAGGGTTGAAAATTTTACGGTGGTGGCATGAAGAGTGTAGAGTGGTGATGCACAGGATGATGGCATGCAGGATGAGGGCATGCAGCACGATGGGCATGTTAATCTTCTCTGCAACGTCCCAACTAACAGCTGTTCCCAAGAGGATCAAATTCGGACTCTCAAGGGTAATATCAAATATGCATGAAAACGTTGGAATTTGGATTAAATTGCATCCGCATTTCAAAGCGAATCAACAGCAAGTATTTACAGTCCTTGACAGCATTCTTCAGCATTCCAAAACAAGTGATTCTGTTGATGAACATCACGTCAGTTTTATAAGCTGCGCTTGCACAACGTCATCCCTATCATTCAATGCTGCGCCGCGTGAAGGTGATCGGCAGCCCGTCTTTCGGCTCTCTAGGCTGTGTTCTGTACTCTGGATAAAGATCGTTGATGGATGCTTCAAAGTATCTGGCCAGCGTGGCCAAAAATATCTTGGCCTCCAGAATAGATAGATTGCGGCCCAGGCACACGTGGGGGCCCAGACCGAAGGGCACCCAAGACCCTGGCTTCCGACCCTCCTCAGTGAGATGTCTGTCAGGATTGAAGACGTCATGCTCCCCCGGCCACCTGCTGTCTCCGTGTTTTGTGACGTGGCCGATCTGAAGCATCATCCAATTTGTGTGCATTTCACATTCGGCTTCATTAAAAAATCCAATTACGGCAAACACTCTTGGGATTCGGATTCGTTGGTCCAACACACTGATGGCACTTTCGTGCAGCAAGTCGAGGCATGGAATGAATAAGTGCAGCAATGCAGCATGCAAGCATTGGCCCAGTTGCGCGTGACACTAGTTTTATTCATGAGTAAAAGAAAGTAACCAATGCACGGTTAAGGTTACTGCAACTGCTCATTGCTTCCGCAACCATGTACACCCGTTTGTTCAGCACGGATGGAAACACCAAGAAAGGCCGGTGGGCTCCAGGAAATTTTCTGCAACGCAAAAGACAGGCTCCCACCAATGCAAACAGCAGCGCGGAGAGTTGCGCACTGCAAGTCAAATTCAATGATTTGACTGCAAGATGGCTGCAGTGGCCTGTCCATCCCTACCAGTGGAAAGGCCGTCCACCCGGCAGGCACCCGGTATCCCTCGATCTCAAAGTCGGTGACCACTTTGCGCGGTGGGCCATGCACCACGACGTTCACCCTCAGGCCCTCCTTGACACATGCCTCCGCGTACGGCATGGCCTCCAGAGCCTCGAGGCTCATGCCGGGGCCGTGGGCAGCCACCACGGCCGCCTGCTCCTCCCGCAGCCTTTCCAGTACTTGGGGATTGCGGCCGAGCTCCAGCATGAGGAAGATGAGGGTGTTGGCGGTGGTGGCATAGCCCGCGACCAGCAGCAGCAGGACCTGGTCGCGGATCTCGTCCTCTGTCAGCCTTTCCCCTGGCCAGCAGCGCGCAGGCATGAGATTGGGGTCTGCACACGATACGAGCGACTCGTACTTCGCTTGATAGAATATCTCTTAGAGAGCGGTAGATCATAGCAGCAATAGATACAGTTTACCGCGTCTCCAACAGTATTTCACGAAAAAAATAGTAGAAAAGTTTTAGTAAAGTGTTAAGTATTTCGACACTTATTATTCTCCCAAAATGTTCGTTCTGTATCTGCAAGCTGAAATCTTTATTTGATCAGATTATGAGCTCTGTGTGAGTCGCCAGCGACAGCTAATCAAGCGACGTTCTCATAACACCAATGGCTGCAGTCTATCGCGACTCCAACAGTTTTCCAGGGAAAAATGATAGAAAAAGGGTTGTAAAATATTGAGCATTTTGACACTTAATTCTCCCGAAATGCTCGTTCTGTAGCTGCAGTCTAATATCTTTATCTTATCAGATTACGAGCTCTGTGTGGGTCGCCAGCGACAACTAATCAAGCGACATTTTGGCCAAAACGTGGTAGTCAGATGAGGGCCAAAATGTGCGCCAACATGCACGAAGGCGCGGCAATGTGATGTACACGATGTGACAACTGTGAATTTCCTTGTTGCAGTGGGTGGCAGTGCTCATTGAATGCTCTTCCAGCCTTGGGCAACGTAGGGTAACGACGCAACGCCACTTATGCTGTCTGGAGGACGCCGTTTCACGTGTTTTCTCACTGCATCACTAAAAGTGTGAGCACGATATGATCACTACCCACAAGCATCATCAATAATGATCCTCATGAACATCATGATCCACATGGCACGTGCTGTCACGAATATTCCGCGCCGCTGTCGTATCAGATGGCCGCTATCGTCCGCCGACACCAGGCTCGGGACATCAACCATGACGCAATGTCCCAACACGCGAGTGGGTGGCGAGAAGATGAAACGAACAGATGCCAGACAAGAAAAACGTTCTTGGATGCGTGCACGCCCGCCATCGCCCACAAGGTGCAAGGGCACCGCCTTGTTCGGTCCAAGCCAAATTCAAACAAAGCAATCTAGCTGGCAATCACCTCTCACAACCCACCTGTCTCCTCATCTCGAAACTTCCACAGCTTCTCAAGCAATTTTGGGCCCCTCGTCCCTCCCCCACCAGCCTCCGCGGCCCTCTTCGCTTCTTCCAATCCCTTGTCCACCGACTTCAACATCCGCTCCTTGCTGCGCACTGCCCTGCCATACTTTGTGAATGGCCCCAAATTGATGCCGAACGAAAAAATGCCACGGATGTATTTGGTGAAGTCTGCAATGAGCTGGGCTTCCCCAGCCGACAGGTCCATTCCGAGGATATCGTCGCTGATAACTCGAAATGTCAACCGCCTTGCCTCGTCTGTGAATTTTACGGACGGCTGTTCAGCCCACTCCGAAAAAAAATCCATCGCTGTCGCCTGCGCAGGAGGCCACCTTTGTATGCACACATCTAACAATATTTTGTTGCACTGTTTTGTATTTAATTCATATATTTAAGAAAATCAGGCTCAGAGGGAATGTGCTGCTTTGGTTTGCTGGGTATGCGTTCACCATCCAAGCAAGAATGTGCTGTAGTAGTGCCCATCCCCATTGTACCTCCAGACAGGTCTGCAGACCAATTCTTACAAGCCATCCTCTGCATGAAGCCAATGCTGTTCACAGAGAGGGATTCCGCAGTGATCGCACTTTGCTAAAGCTTGAGCAATCATTCGAGGCAGCAAATGATCAGCCTTGTCCAGAAAACACCGAATTATCTGATCGCATTCTGTGCCCATGAGCTGTCGATCGCTTTGCCTCGAATGGCCCCTTTCGTCAAACATCACCAGGCAATGTGCAGCAGTTTGCGCCCATACACCCCAACTTCCACAAAACGCAAACGTGATCTGCTTTGCATCGTCAAGGATCTCATGGACTGGTGCTTCCCCTATCTCAAGTAAACTCTATCAAGGGCCCCTATGTATTGCTGGGAAATCCTGATTTCATTGGTGGGCCCGCATTATTCTGTCTGTAGTTGCACCCAGTGCCAAAGACCTACAACCCAGCAATGACAACAAGTTCCCCACCTCGTCGTTTCAACTATCAATTGATGTACATGTTCAAAACCTGCTGGATTGATGATTGCTTCCTCCATCCCACACTTGGGGCAATTCAGTCTGATTCAAACCGCAGTTACGAAGCAAAACTAGCTAAATTCAGGGCACTGGACTGACATAAACAAAGACTTCAGCATCGAAAACGACAGGGTTGGAAACATTTGAAATCATATAAAGGTCATAGGAAAGTCCGCCCCATAACAGCTCCTGGAATGCTCTTGGCTTCCTCGCCTGGTGCTGCCCACGAACGAGGCAAGGGCGGGGGCCAGAAAATGAGCGTTTTGGGGTCACCATGGGAATTTCAAAACTACTGCTGGATCAACGACAGTTTAAACATCACAGCTCCCTCAACACCTCACAGAATGCTCTCAAACTGACGGCATAAACGGATTTGGACAAGCTCCAATATAAAACCATGCAGTTTGCAGTAGATCCAGTACTGCTCTCTGAGCTGTACTTCATAAATGTCATCTAGATGGGACAGGAAGCATCGACCCAATCTCACACTCAGATCCACAAGTTTTGTGCCATTTTCTTCACTGCAGGGAACACAAAAGATGCCTGCCATCTGCTGTGCCATGGTCAGGCATCCTCTTGACCACTGGTTGCGCATACTGGCATGCAATGGATGGCTGTAGATCCCACTGCTAACACTTTGGCAAATTTCATTAAATCCTTTGCAGCGCATCAAACACAGGGGCACCCCTTTAGGTGAGGAGCACGTTGGTGCAAAATGGAAAGAGATGATGGGTGTCAAATGCAAGGAAAATGTGAAGGCAAGTCCCAACAGAAAGAAACACACAAGTTGCGGACATGGCAGCCTGGCAGTGGCTGGTTGCTAGAAGCCATCACCTTCCTGTACAACCGATCAATCACATTTAGCTGCCTAAGGCGGCAAAACTTTGGACGAAGTGAGTGGCAACTTTGATCTGGTGGCACTTCTGCCCATTTGGGCTCCCTTGCGTACATGTCTTATGATATCTATAGGCATGCTGTCCTGTGCAGCAGGTCTTACTAGTAACAGTACTATTGCACTTGAAAACTTTTGAACATCTCTCATAGAATGGAAAAGAATCCCCAGACTACAGTCACTCAGGGAAGATGCCGCATGTTTTGTGACATGCCCGTCATCCGTGGCACTGATTTTTCCATTGCATTTATGGTCACCCTGCACATGGATGTCTGCAACAAGAGAGATGCACCAAGCACTGATAACTGCCAATAGATTCCACAAATGGCTTCTCATGAACCCACAATAGGTGGCCACGGACACTGTAAAACAATCTAGACTGTCAACCAGATTTGCTTGCCATTCTGGAGATCTCCTGAATAAACGCCCAACGCCGAGGCATTGGATGGCAATGTTAGGGTGTCGCATTGCGTGTGGGTAAGATTTGATATAAAGAGAGAAAGAAACAGGCCATACAAAGGGCAACCCCTCCTAAGCAAGTGTGTACGAGACTCTTGTCAATGCTGTGGGAAAATAATATAGAGTCTCCAGTGCGAAATGGCTGCGTGAGGGTTTTGGATATGAGGTCCCATCCAACAGGTCCAATAGAACATAATTCAGATGTCCAGCTTCAAATCAATCGGCATCGGATCCGCGCAAGCCCACCTGTATGTCCGAGATGTGGGTTCCGAGCGCGGCCATGCTGAAGCTGGGGGCGGTGAGCCTCCTTACCCGCGTGTGCGGCGGCCCGTCCAGCACACTGAGGCTGCTGCTCCCCTGCAAAAACAGCTGAGCCTTGGTGGTCACCGCCTTCAACAAATCCCTTTCGTCCTGCAGCACCCGCCTCAGGTTGGCATCCCCCGTGATCACCACGCAGTTGAACCCAAAAATCTTCAGCCGAAAGACTGGCCCGAGCTCCTTGACGCGCTCAACGGAGTACTGCGTTTGGTTGGCTATGAATGTAAAAAAGTCGCCAACCAGCGGAGGCCCTTTGGACAGCGGCGGCAGCGGCAGGCCATCCAGATCTCCCTCCAATGCCTCCTCCGCCACTGGAGGCTCCCCAGAGCGCGCGTCGGCCACCCGGGGGGCGAGGCTCGCCCCACGCGGCCCCACATGCCTCGCTTGCCATGCCGTGGGGCATCGATTGGATTGATTGAATCGATTGGAGGAAGGATCGCGCCAGCCATGGGCGACTGCGCGGACTGGCGCAGGCGGGCTGCGGCCCGTGGGGGGGGTCGTCTGCCGCAGTTGCGTCGCCTTGGTGCCCATGACGCCTTTGCTGGGGACCGGAGCAAACGGGGCTGTAGTGCTATATACAGTCCACAGGGAGGGGGGTTCACCCGTCACTTTGCAGATTTCCTTGGTGGAGACGAACTTGGATGGCCTTGGGTGTCTGGTCTGGAGGCGTCCCCGTACGGGGACCACACGCCTGGTCGCCCTTGGGCTCGGCGCGGAAAAGTGTGACCGTTGACCGGAAGCCGCCCAGCTGCAGGTTTTGACGAGTCAGGTCGCACGACCTAACGTGAGGTGTCGCGCGACGATGGCAGCCTGGCATTGGAAGATTGCGTTTGTTGATGTTTTGCACTCGACGAGAAATTGCTCATCAGGTTCATTGATTGCTGTCTCATTTGCAGCTGTCGCTCCGCCTGGGCCCCACAGCACCATCGCGAGCCTATGCGCCCCGGGAGAGCACTAGAGGGGAGCCCGCTTCAACCCGCAAGTTGATTGGCAAGCCGTCGTTGCAGCCGCCAAGGCCTTAATCGACCCAAGATCGCATTCGACAATCACCGCACGTGATTCAGGGTGGAGCCCGTGGTGGGCGGCCTGCCACGCATAGTGGCGGGGGACTTTGAGATCGAGGGATTCCGGGTGCCTGCCAGGTGGATGGCCTTTCCAATGGTGGGGATGGACAGGCCGCTCCCACCATTTTGCAATCAAAATGTCTTAATTAAGTTTGCAGTGCTTCATTAGTGCTGTTTGAATTTGCACAAGCCTGCTTTGCACGTTGTGCATTTGTCCCCTCCAATCTAGCGGCCCTTCATTCAATCCCCATCGTCCCGTCCCTTCTACATAAATGTACTGATTCAATCGTATTAGATCAATTCATATGAACATTTTTTCGTGTACAGATTCCGTAATTCTGTAAAAGTCCACGTGATGAGTTGTGACAGGCACAGTGTAACATCAATGCCAGCCCCAAACACGGTGTTCCCCTAGTATGGCATGATGGCACAGGGTACACGCGTGTGATGGGCCAATGGGTTATCTCAGCAGGCCATAACACAGCTAATGGGTCTACTTTTGCATCTTCTTGTGATGGGGAGTGTCACTTTATGAATAAAACCACAATTAAATGCATTAAACGAATAAATTTTTAGCGCCCCCGGCCCCCCACAGCGGACACGCTAGATGTGCCGTCCACCCATCCATAATATACCAAGTTCGCAGAAACGGACAGCCACCATGCTATCCATCCACCGAACACCTCTCTTGGGTGTGTTGGGTTGTCCGCAATAGTGGCTTGAGGCCCCACTGTGCAGTGAAGCTGTATAAAGTACTACAAAAATGGTGACAAGCCCAAAAAGGGGGCGCTATTGGGGGCCGGGGGCGCTATTAGGGGGGCGCTATATAGCGACCCCGACTGTATATACCTGGGTACGAAAACCGGTTCACCGCGCTTGGCCGGCTTCTGCCTGACGGAGTCCACGACGAGGCTGCAAACGGTGCAAAGTTTGCTGACGGAGGTGGTGGGGCCTGTCCGTTTCCGCGAACATGGTGTTTAGCGGACGGACGGACGGTGCGTCCGCGAAAGGGCGGGGTAGCAGGCCTCACCGGGAGGCCTTGGGGGGCACGAGATCCGCAGCGGATCTCCGCCTATGCACGGCGAAGCGTGGCGCCCAATCGTCTCCTTGGGGGCGCCAATTGATGCCACTCGCGGGTGCCAATCAGGGCACCCGCGAGTGGCACCTTTCGTCGGCCGCGAGGAGCCAAAGTGGCGGGAGTGGGAGGCGACGTTCGGCCTCCCTCTCCCGCTGTTTTGTGGCGTGTTTTGAGGCGTGTTTTGCGACCCTGCTTTGGGCCCCGCGCCCGCTGCAGTTCATCCCTGGCATTCGCCCCTTGTAGGCGCCGATTGACGCCACTCGCGGGTGCCAATCGGGGCTTCCCCCGGTGGCGCCAGTCGGTGGCCGGAGGAGTAAAAGTGCGGGAGTGGCAACGCTCGGCCTCCCATTCCTGCTGTCCCAGTGCGTGTTTTGCACCCAAGCTTTGGGCACCGCGCAGGTCGTAGTCGACCTTTGGCATCTGCCCCTCGTGGGCGCCAATTGATGCCACTCGTCGGGGGGCACCAGTCGGTGGCCACAAGCGGCAAACATGGGGGGAGTGGGAGGCGACATTCGGCCTCCCACTCTCGCCGTTTTGTGGCGTCTTCTGCTTTCCAAGCCTTGGACTCAAAATAGGCCGTAGTTCACCGTTCGCAGTCGCCCCCTGTGGCCGCCGATTGATGCCACTCGCGGATGCTAAGCAGAGCACCCGATGGTGGCACCAATCAGGGGCCGAGAGGTGCAAAAATGGGGGGAGTGGGAGGCAACGTTCGGCCTCCCACTCTCGGCGTTTTGCGGCGGACGTAGCCACACGGAGTGTGGACAGGGTTGACCTTCGCTGAAACGAACGCGGTGCGAAGCAAACGCATCGAGCGACGGCTGGTCAATCGCACAGTACCCGGATAACCCGGGTATCCGCCTGTACCCGCCTATACCCGGGTACGTACCCGTACCCGCGTAACCAGGTACAAGGGTTGGCGGATACCCGGGTAGGCAGGTACAAGAAACGCCAGTACCCGTCCCGGGTACCCGGGTATCCTGTACTGAGTAGGTATCCTGGATTGAGGAGTTCTCAGTGAACTCAATTCGATTATTGATTGCTAATTTGCTTGGACATTTTTGAGGGAAACGGTTACCATCTCTTGCGATGGGTCGATTTGATGGACCAATTACAAACTGTACGAATCGCCATTTTGATTGCGCCACAGACCTGCCAGGTCATCCGATACACCTGCATCAATCGTCAATCAGAGCCTATCTCTGGCAGAAGATAACACCCGTGTAAAGAGGCACTGTTCTTTTATCGCGGATTGTCAATTCAAAATCAGCACCAGGGATAATCGATCAGATGAATAACCTGTGATAAAGCATGATTTTCGATGACAACGGAAGTGCTCTTTGCTACAGTTTGTACACGTGCGAAGCAGCGTTGTCGAAAAGCGCGCGCTTGTACTGCCGTCCGAGGTTGTACATGACAGAGTACGATGTGGTGGGCGAATACGTGGCGAATTTGTGCAAACAGCGTACCACACAAATTGTGGTGTAGATTGGGCAGCAGCGCCCCAAGGTCCGTCGGACGCCAAGGAAGTCTGCGTTGCTCCATATTCATAGACTAAGGCATTAACGCACACACAATAACCATTGAACAATGAAACAAGATAATGCAAAAATGTGATCCAAAACCGCAACCCTTGAGTGGGCACTGCACTGCTCCAAATACCCATGCCCCACCCCACCCACCCACCACCACCACCACCACCACCACCACCATCCCCCCGCTCCCTCGCCAAAGTCCGTCCGGCTCCAGAGGACGCCAGGAAAGGCCGATTTGCTCCATACCCATCACCACTGCCTCAACAACTTCAGAATCACTATTGAATGATCGGATGAACAACCACAAAAACGCCATCCAAAGCTGTGCAATCCCCAGGTGGGCACTGCATTGCTCCAAATGCTGTAAACACCCCAACCGATCTCCCCAAGGTCCGACGGGCGCCAACGGACGCCAAGAAAGTCCGACTTGCTCCCATTGACCATTGATTCAATAACTTGAAGCTATTGAATAAATTGTAGTATTGTGTTTTCACCGAATTCAGCATCCTACCATCGAATAGGATGACGCAAAACGCGCCCCAAAAGCGCACAACCCCGGAGCGGGCAGTCCCTTCCCCCGAATACCTGTACACACCCACACTGCACTCCCCGAGGTCCGACCAACAACACAAGCACAGAACGCAAAGCCTCCCCACGCCAACGCATATGTCCGCCACCCCAAGCCGCAGGCGCGGGCAGTCCGAGGAATCGCCCTCGGGCGCATCTCCCACCCTGCGCAACCTTGGCCTGAGGGCCCTTTCGCCGGACGAGGCCAAACGCCAGACGTCGCGGCTGTTCGCGGAGCTGGAGGCGCGGCTGTCCACGGCGAAGGGAAGATCAGGTGGGTGGCTTGGGGGTGGCTTGGATTGATTTGGGGATGGCCTTGCAAGGGAGATTGAGAATGGATTTCGACGCGAGGCGGGGTGGCATTCCGGTGGGCGGGGGAGGGATATGCTGAGGGAGGCTGTCCACGGCAAGGGTGAGATTCAGGCGGGCTGCTTGGGGGTGGTTTGGAATGATTTTGGAGCGGTTTTGGGGGTAGTTTGGGATGATTTTGGGTTCATTTTCTGGGAAACAAGGATGGGTTGCGACGCCAGGCGGAATGGCGTTCATGGGTAGAGAGGGATCTGCTGAGGGAGGCTGTCCACAGCAAGGGTAAGATCAAGTGGTGTGGGAAGTCAGGTGGGTGGTTTGGGCATGTTTGGGGGATGATTTTGAAGTGTTTGGGAGGAGAAGTGTGTATCGATGGAGATATGAGGCAGAGTGTTGTTTTGCTCGGTGGGGAGCGATCTGCTGAGAGATGCTGACCACGGCAAGGTGAAGATAAGGTCGGGTGGATAAGATGCGTGTGTAGCCAAGAGATGGTTTGGGATGATTTTGGATTGTTTTTGGGGAATTATGTATCGATAGAAATGCGAGGCAGGGTGGCGTTTTGCTGGTTGGGGAACGATCTGCTGTGGGAGGCTGTCGACGGCAAAGCGAAAATCAGGTGGCTGGCTTTGGTGTGGTTTGGGTTTGGATTGGGATGACTTTGGGACGATTTCAGGTGAACATTATGGATCGATCGCAATGCAAGAAAGGGTGGCGTTTCAATGGGTGGGGAGGGATCTGCTGAGAGAGGCTGTCGACAGCAAGGGGAAGATCGGGTATGGGTGGTTTAGGGTGATTTTGGGATGATTTTCAGATGATTTTGGGAGGAGCACAGTTGATTGAATGGGGGGCAAGGCAGGTTGGCATCGTGGTGGATGAGGAGGGATCTGCTGAGGGAGGCTGCCGACGGCCAATGGAAAACCAGGCAGGTGGCTTGGGGGTGGACTGGGATGAATTTGGGGTGGTTTGGGGGTATTGGTGGTGGGAAAATTCATAGATCCATTACCATGCGAGGCAGGCTGGCATTTTGGTGGGTTGATTTCGTTTTGGGTTGGTTTTGGGGCCATTTTGGGTGGCTTGGAAGTGTTGTTGGTGGGGAAGTGATAAACTGATTGCAATGCAAGGCAGGCTGGCATTGTAGTGGGTGGGAAGGCATTGGCTGAGGGAAGGTTGCTGACTGGCCTGGGGCAGGGGGGAGGGGGGAACTGGGGTGGGCAGCCAGGTGTGGCTGGGGTTGAACTGTGGGAATGTGAACTGTGGGAACTGTTGAACTGCTGGAATTGAGTTGGGATGTGCAAGGCAAGGGGGGTTGTTTGGCTTGCGTGTTTCGGGGATGACAGGCGAAGGAGAGCGACTCCGAAGGGTTTGGATGGTGCAGGTTGGGTAGTTGGGCCGATTGGTTTTTGGCAGGGATCTGCTGGATCCACAGCGTTGGATTGGGGGGAAGGGAGGAGAGATGTGTGGTGGCACAGTGTGGATCGACGTGGGTCGTTGCTTACACAGCTGGGCATCAATCGGTAATGGAAATGGTCGTGTCCATGGCTTTGGCAATGCAAGTTGGAAAGGGTGTTTTGCTTCAAGCACTGGCTGCTTGCACCTCAGACGACTCCTTTCCCCTGGACTGTTCTGTTGTTCTAAGGTGCTTGTTTGTCCACCAAGCATCAACATCAATTATCCAAAAGAGGAGAGAATCATAATTCCTCTGATCACATTTGGCTTTGCCGCCTGAAACAGCACCCTTGCTAAGTTCTTTTCTTTTAACTTTTTGCATGTTTAACGTCCTTGCACCCTGAAGGCAATGATAGGGATGAGGAGAAGCTAGGGCATTTCTCCTCTTGTGCACTAGGGTTGAGCTCCAACGACTACAGGGAACTAAGCGATGTGCCAAAGAGATTTTTTGTCTGCAAAGCTCGTCTGTTGTGGACCTTGGTGATGCAGCAACCCATGGGGGATAGCTGCAGTTATTACCACTCAAGGATTGTGCCAGTCCCATTGAATAGGTTGAGGAAAGAATCGCCGAAAAGGGGAGAAGCACCTGTTGCATATGTGTGACTGCCATGTCCGGGCATGAGCAGACTGTTTTGCAACAGGGATGCAGATGCCGTGGCGTCCTGGCAGCAGGCCTGAGACAGCAGCAGGTGTCTTACGAAGGGTGATGCCCTCCAGTTTGAAAGCGCATCACAAACCTTGTCCCTTGGGTCATTTGGCGCACGCAACAGTGCGTTAAAGCCTCGCTTGATGGCTCATCTAATGCTTAAGCTTCTTTCAAAGTGAAGGCGTATTGATTGAGGAAGGGACGCGTACTGGTTGCCATAACCATTGCCTTGGGGGCTTGGGAAGCCAGCTCTGGGAGCAGTTTTGCAGATGCAAGACCTCAGGGCATCAATGTGGCTTGCCTTAGGACAGAGGTTCGTTGGCTTTGCAACGATCGTCCTCAAACAAATGTAATTGACTAACATTACTTGTTCTCCTGGCATACAGCAGAAAGAACAACTGGCCACCTAATGGGGCCCCACCCTCCTGAACAACAAGTTTGTGGCAATTATCTGTGACAGTAGTTCTTGGTAGTAATTTGAGGGACGATCATTTGAAAATTTAGCCTCTTCTGTACTGCTGAGGACCTTCGTTTGTGGCGGTTGCATCGTGGCACTGGCCTTGGCTTTCCAGACAGCACACTTGCATCTGGAGGACGATGGCAGGTAGTCGCATTGCCCAAAGCTTTTTTCTTTTTGTTGTCTCCCTGGTGCTTCACGCTGGATCCGGCCACCTTTGGGATGTGCAGCCAGCAGATAGCATCTGTTGACAGACGGGCCCCTTTGCACCCTGTCCGTCATGTTGCCAATAACTGCTGCGGGGCTGCATACGCATGTACAAGCTTATGTCAAGGATTCTTTAATTGCATGCAGTCGAGGCCACATCCCTCGTTTTCCTTCGGGTTTGAACACGAATTAGCGGGGTCCACAGGACGGATCACGGCCGTCACACATGGAGCCTCGTGCAGCATCAGGGTGGTGTGGTCATTTCTGTGTTGTCCAGTGTCCCCCCTAGAAGCCACCCATGAAACGTCGGCCAGCAGTCCGCGAGGAATTCCTCGCCCGTTCGAATGGGCAGCTCAGGAACGCCCAGAAAATGCGACGTGAAGTACCCATTTCGCAAAGTTTGTCTGACAAACGCTTGCTAAGCGTGTCTAAATGCGGTAAAACATGACAAGCCGTGCCCTAAGATTGCGAACAGTGTTGCAATGGGGCCATCGTGCTTCTGGCTCCGTTTTCGCCAGTGCAGTGGGACGAGCATTGTCCAGCCAAATGGCAACAAAAAATTAGAATAGATCTGAAAGCAAATTTAGTTTACTGAATTCGCTCAACATGTATTTGTTTATTTATTTATCGTTGTTTAAAACGCTTATTTAGTAAATTGAGGAAATCGAATGGATGAATTCTTACGGGCAAACGCAGAAGCGACCCACTGATGATAGGTGGCCACGCCACCTGTCCTTACTGAGCTGATGTGAGCAGACAGCATCTGTTTAGACTAGTCCCACTAGGACTCCCAGCGTTTGGCAAAGACAGCCCCCCAAGCCACCAAAGAGAGAAGTCAAAGTGGACATGATGAAACTTTGCTCAGCCTGGCCAAAAGCATTCGCGCCAAACCCAGCAGGACACTAGAAAAAAAGGGCCAAATGACACGTGTTCAAACGTGCACAAAGTTTACGGGTTTGTGCTATTTTTGTGTTTTCAGCGTGCAGAACTTTGATGAAATGTGTTTTTTGTGTGTTTGAAAAAGTGTTATTTGGTCCTTTTTTTGCTAGTGGGAAAAGTGCACAGGCCCTCGGACAGCAAACAGCCCGGGGGCGCTCTGGTGTCTGTTCCGGCACTGTGACACTGCCTGACAGGCACCCAGCCACTGCGACAGTTTGTGACGGATGCTCAGAACGCCATCATCCACCTGACAAACTCGAAGAGGGCAAAGTCAGCCGCCCTCCACACAAGCGAACTGTCCAACATCACCGTCCTTTCTCCCGAAATGCCGCGTTTTGGGATGAAAATGTCTTCAGCAGAGCCTCGTCCAAAGCCCTTTTCAAGCCGCTCCCAACGAGCTGCCCAACAGCCTCTTTTCTCGTTCCCAAATGCTGCCTTTCAGGACAAAAAAGGATCCAACACAGCCTTCCCCAACAGCACTTGAACCGCCCCGAAATTGAACATGAAAGAACAGACAGGACCCCCCATGATTTCCAGCCTGACAAGACAGCACCTGGACAGTGAAATGTGACACACTTCGCTACTAAGCAACATTTTGATGTCGAAAAGAGAAAATTCTAACCATGCAATTCGCGATGGCTTCCTAGGGATGGATGTGGACATCGACCTGACCGAAGAGCCCGCGGGCGATCCAGCGCAGTCCGACCGTCCTAATGACCCCATGGAAGTAATCGAGGTCGAAGAGACGCCCCCTGATGACGACTTGGCAATGGCCTGCGAAGGCACGCAGGTCGCCGTGCATCCCGTCCCTCTGTCCAAGGGCGAAGGCGCAAGTCCGCCCCGAGGGGAGTCGGGTGGCGGGGAGGGGGGATGCGAGAGCGCGGCCGCCGCGGCATCGCTGCAGATGGAGGTGGAGGCGGTGCGTGACCTGCGGGAGACAACAGGTTCGTGTCAGCCCGTCTGCATGGGCATAATCTAAATGGGGTCACATTACATTGACATTGCAATAGCATTACGCTAGTGTGCATTCTTCCAGGAAGTTTTGGTACAAATGGTATTCTTCAGAAATGAATCCTCTATTTGCATTTGTTAATAGCATATTATACCTTTGGTGATGATTTTGAATCACCCTGACGATCAGTGTGCCTTGTATTGTTGTTACTCAAGTATTTTGCCCAGTTATGTGGCTTCTGAGTATTTGTGCACCCCGGTCGCATTTGTCCACGTTCATCGCCAGGCGTCTGAGCATCATACATGAAGATCCGCTCTTCTACAACGTGCTGTCCCAATGGTCCAATGGTCATATGATCATTTTGGATGAAGCTGCGCAAACCACCACTAAACTGCGGTACAGCTCATGACTGAATCAGATTCAGCTTATGACGGACAAGTTCTGTCTATGAGTCCTTGTCGCCCGGGTCATTCATGTCGAGCCATACATTTTCGTTGCCTGTGGGGGCGATTTGAATTGTCAGTCTGTGTAGCTGCATGGATGCCTTTAAGCTGCGGGTTACCGCAGTATTCAGCCCTTCCGCACAGCAGCGTAACGCTAGGCATTTATTGCGGTGAAAACAACGAGATGAATAACGCGCGTTCAACAAAATTTTTGCGGAGCAATGTAAAAGAACAAAAACAACGCTCTGAAAAAGAACGAGGAGTAAGAAGCGTGATGGTAAACTTGTTTGATGTGGAAGGGTTGAATATACTATGGTGACCAGCTCCATTTGCAGGCAGGCATGACATGCGTCAGCAAGCGAAAGGGTACTATGTTGATATTTCTTTTCGTTAGGCTGTGTGGCAAGGGCAGCCGCGTGCAGGGCCGCATTGCCACTGAAGATTATGGGCAGAGCAGAAATTGACCCTCAAACAAGCTCGGGATGTGTGAAAAGGATTCGCAAGCACGATCTGTTGTTTACTGCCTGGGGACCCCTGCGACTTCTTGCTTGATTTATTCTGGCTAATTTGTTAATCTCTATATTTCTTAATTGGTAAGTCGATTTTTTTTCATTGTCTTATTTCCTGATTATGTAGTTTATTTGCTTTTGCGATGTGGGCTGCAGTGGCCACTGTGCCAAGCATTGTGTGGTCCTCGTAACATTGCAAATATAGGGCCGCCTTGGGCTCTGAGCTTGCTACAGCCAGGTGCCATGATTTGTGTGTCATTTATCACGTTGCATCTGTTAGACACATGCATATACTCAGTCAGAAGGACAACTTTGACAGGAAGAAATGGAACATACCCTGTGATGAAATCAGTTCAATAAACAACATATGGTGACAACAACAATCCCAAATTGCTTCAGGTAATGTTATTAGGAAATGGCATGATGAGAGCATCAGAGGTTCCCGAGAAGGACCCTCTGCAGACAGGCATTTCAAGCTCTCCAGGCACATTCAAAATTGCCCACATAGTCCCTGCAGAGGAGGTCAAGTTTTACGCAGGGTTAAAGGGGAGGGGGGGAGGTATGTTCACCCTCACTAGACAACCAATCATACCATTCTCCATCACCTCTGTTGTTGCCAATTTGGTGCAACGGCTTTGCTTGACCATTTTCACCAAATCCAACGTAACTCTTCAAAAGATTGCGTATTAATTTGTACTGTTGTTGCTGGAACTTGGGGTGTGCAGCGATTTGGCATTGGGGGTCTGTGTTTAATCAACCACCAAAGAGACTGTGAACTCAGCAATAAACTGCAGCACTATCTGGATGTCAGGCCAAAAATGGCACAAGTCTTGGCTGAAACCGTGTGAGAGTGCAGAACAGGCATGGGCGTCGGAAGGTGCTGGGCAGCAGCAACCCAGCCCCAGCGTGACAGATGAAGAATGCCCCAAACAGATCACCGCAAACGCCTGTGCTGGCACTGCACCGGCCAACACGCCAGAAGCGGCCACTCAGGGCGAATCAGCATCCATGGCGACAGGCGCCCCGGACGGGCCCCCCGGATGGATCAGCGTCCCCTCCCTGCCCATCGCGCAGTGCCTGGCCTGCGACATCTGCGGGGACATCCTCAGGGACCCCCACACCTGCCTGCTGTGCCTCCACTCCTACTGCTACGAGTGCATCCGCGCGTGCGTCACCCCAGGCAGCTACGGCAACACCTGCCCCGTGGGCGGCTGCGGCACGCCCGACATCACCGGCCAGCAGACGACCAAACTGGGCAGCTATCCATTCGACGAGAAGAAGCAGACCATCCGCCACGATGCCACCCTCAACGAGATCATAAAGAGGATATTCCCGCGGCCGGGGCTGGACGAGCGGCTGGAGGCGGCGCGGGCGGAGCGGGAGGCGCGGATCCGGGAGGGCCGGGAGAGGGCCAGGGCCCCGCGCAGGAACTTTTCTGGCAGGTCCCTGGGGCACAGGGATGGTTCCGGCGGGTGCTTGGGGCCCGCTGCGAGCCGCAGGGTCAGCCGAAGTGGTGCGAGCAAAGGTGCCCTGGCTGGCAGGAGCTTGGGGATCGACCATGAGGCGAGGGAACCCGGAGAGGGGATCTCCGTGCCGGCTGTTGGCCCTGTGATCGGCGGGGCGAAGGGAGCGGGCCCTGCGCCTGGGGCGGGCCTGAGGGAAGTGCACACGCTGCGATCCCGCAGCGCGGATGCCGAAAGGAAGGCTGGGAAGAAATCTGGGGGCCAGGGCGAGTGGCGGGGCTCCGCGGAGAGCCGGCTGCTCCGGCAGACTGCGGATCGCGCAGCGCGCAGGTCCCTGGAAAGAGGCCAGGCCGTGCGGCGGGAAGAGGCACCGCAGAGGGAGGCCAAGCCTGGCGCCCCGTCCTCGAGCAACTCGATGAAAAGGCGATCGTCTGATTTGTCCAACTGCGGCAGCACGGGGCGGAACCACAGGCAGAGGGCGGAGCAGGCGGGGTGCCCGGGGCACAGGGAGGGGGAAGACATGGTGATTGCAATTTTTCCTTCGGATTTCTTTCACGCAAAGAGGGCCCTGCCGCCGCTGGAGTTCAACTACTTTCGCCTGCCGTGCGCCACGCCGGTCGTCGAGGTGGGCAGGATCGTCCTCGAAGAGCTGCATATGGAAGAGGGCGTTGATCTGTTCTGCATGGGGCGGCGTCTTGGCGGGGAGGGCCCGGCGACCCTGGTGGAGGTGAGGGGGGCGATCTGGGAGAAGCAGGGCGCGGAGGAGGAGCTGCTGACGCTGTACTATGCCGCCAAGGGCGCGGAGCTGTGATGCGGGCTGTGCGCTGTGGGAGCGTGGTCACTCTTTCTTTGGCGGAAAATTGGCGTTGTTGCAAGGAGGACCAGCTAATGCATGGAATGCGGCGCGGTTTTGATTGAAGAGCTCTTTGCTATGGTGCCAAAGACACGGTGTTGACGAAGGCAGGCAGGGTCGAGGCGTGGCGACCCTGGCCGGGGCCCGTGGGCTCGAGTACGCAGCAAGGGTTTGCAGCTGAGCAAAGGGACAACAGGAGCTTTGTCCCTTTCATATATCCGATCCGTTCATCAGTGTCCTTAATGCAGTTCCTTATGCCTCAGCACCTCAATGTGCACCCGGTTGTTATTGATACTCGATCAGTTCTAGTTGCAGCGGTGTGACGTTCGCAGTCTGCCTCGGTGACGCTCACACTTGGCTATGCCACGGACGTGGAAGTACGGCCTGTGTGGCTTGCTTTTGGGTTGCTCGCCCGTCTTTATGCAGCCAGCGCATGGAAGTGCGGCTTGAGCAGCGTGCTTTTGCTGTCGTTTGGATCACCTGTGCCTTTGTTTCTCATCCGTGTTCCAGGGTGGCGCTCGATCTTATTGGAGGCACCGTCGCCTTGTTGGATTGAGGATGGAAAGTGCTGGTTTTTGAATGATGCGACTTTTCCACCTGCTCCGTTTTGCTGAGTCAAGGGGGAGGGTAGAAGAACGTCGTGTGGTGTGTGAGGAGAGCAGGCCTCCGTGCCGAGAATTCGAGCATGATGGTGGGGTCAGCACGGAAGTGTTAGGCCGGTGATATTGAGGTAGAAGAGTGACCGACGACAGGATATGTAGTACAGAATATGGCCTGCAGAATGCTCCAGATTCAGGACCTGCGGAGTATTTTGTAACATTTCAAAATGGTACTCGTGATACTGACCTTGAATATAGGTCATTGTTTCAGAGTGCAAACTCTGAAACAACCTTTCATGTGGTGGTGGGCTGCATGGCTGTGGTTGGCAGCTTTTACAGTTTCGACACTGTTGAATGCCAGCACACATGCGGCCGCTCACGTGACTGTTCGCGCCTTCCAAACGCAGGAGTTTGTAGTTTGTCGTCAACTGCAGCGCACGGCTGTTGCTGGGAGACGGACGTAGGCGAGCCCTGCTGGTGGTGGCACTTGCCGCGTGATAGCTCATCTAAACTGATGCAGCACATCAGCAATGAGTCACTGATCCGATTCGACTGGTCTACTGTTATCTGTGAACGGATAGGCACTGGGCGCAGATGATGTGTGGGCGACCATGTTGGCTGTCTTCTCGCTGTTGACGAAGGCGTTCGCGCTTGTCTTGTGCCATGCCTGGACCGACGAGTGTGCTTGGCAGTCTTGGAAGACGTCACACTGTTGCTGGAAATTATTCCGCACGACAGGCAGACTCTTCCTTTCGACAATAAATCGGCACTCCTCGATAATATATCGGCGAGCGCATCGATACTATCGGCCAAGGTTCGAGACGTATTGCGTGCGCCCTGGCCTTCTCCAATGGACGCAATGATTCGTGAATGTTGGACGAAATCAAGGACGTTGCTGACGTCATTAGTTGCAATTACTCCCAGTGCCTTTTATGTACATTACATACGGCAGAATTCTCAATATCAATCGCGCCCTGCCCTTTTCCGACGAGATGTTCCTGGAAGAATTCCGTGCAGCCTGATCCAATCCGATATGACATCAGCCAATCCAATGAATCTGATCTGATCCGATCTTATCAAATTCGATTCGGACCCGATCGACATCCGACGCTCGACTTCCCGGCATTGCCCTTCACGCCAGACAAGGGAACGCGTCCTGCCGTTATTTAAATACAATCCGTCAACAAGAACATCTTCATGTCCGGGGCGCGACCGTGCGATTCGCGAAAGCAATCTCTCCAACCAGTGCAGTTCCCAGTCAAAACCCCGAGCTAACTATGTGTGCATTTCCCCCAGAAACCATTCTGGCGGCGTCTGCAAAATCCCCCCCCTCCCCACCCCACCCCCACCCCACCCACCGCCATACCGACCCAAGAAAGACCTCTGGTTACTACAACCCTTGGGGTGTGCTGCGAGCCGTGCATCCCATGACCCCACGCTTCGCCGCCAAGCTGTGCCAGCGCCACAACCGGCCGGGCGCAAGGCCCTGTGCCGGACAGTGGCCGCGCACAACCGCGGCTTAGGCGAGCGGCCGTGTGAAGTCAGGCTGCCGCCAGGAGTTGCCAGAGTGCGGTGCCACGGGTCTATCGTCGACCGAGCTTGGAGAGCACGGTGTTCACGAAAGGAATTTTGCCTGGATTCATAAGGAAAAAGTGCAGAGCGGTCAGCCAGGAGAACAAGCAATGGCTTTTTTGGCTCTTCATCACTGAATTGCGGAATCCAGCTTGCAGGCATTTCGCCAGTGTGGGACATTCTGGGCATGGGTAATCGCGGCCCCATGCGTGCAATCGACAATTATTGCAAAGGAGCACTGGGAGATTGGAGACGCTCCACAATAAGTTACTGGAAGAATCAAACAATAAACAGACCTCGGAATTTTCCTGGAAGATGAGCGAGGCAAAACAAGCAGTCTGCACGAGGTGGACGCTATGATGAGGAGAGGGAGCCGTTCCCAACAATGGCCCCGTCACTGATGCAAGTCACAATGCAAAACATTACGAGACGCTGCTGAGCACTGCCCAGCGCGATGCCGCGCGCCAGCGTCAACCAAAAGGCAAGGCCTTCGGCCCGTGCGCGCCCACCTGCAATGCCGGCCAGAGGGTGGCTGGCCGCCGTAGCCTTGCTCGTCCCAGGCACCAGCACCACCTCGTATGTGAACCCCGGCTGGGCGTTCTGGATCACGTACTGCACTCCATCCGGCCCAGTCACAACCACCTCCTTCCCAGTGCTGGCCTCTGCAGTGGTTGCAGGCGGCGTGAGTGGCCTGACTGGTGGCTTGAGTGAGGGAGGCTCAGGAGTTTCTGTGGGAGCAGAGGGCTCGGGTGTGGAGGGCTCCGGAGTGGAGGGCTCCGGAGTGGGCTCCGCCGGAGGGGGTGGGGGCGGGGGCGCCTGGGCGCAGCCGTTGTTGCCGACGAAGTCAGCGCCGCACTCTGCCAGCCTGTGGGCAAGGGAAGAGTAATCAGCAGGGCGGAGCTATGGCATTGGCAAAAACTGAAACAGCAGGGCATGCTCGTGAGCAGGGTCTGGTCACGTCCGTTTTGTTCTGCACAATGTTTGGCTTGAAAAGGTGATAGTGGGTGGTGGGCAGTGATGGTGTTGGTGGGCAGTGATGGCGGTGGTGGGCAGCAAACAATTGGATGGGTGAGTTTAAGGTCCACCCGGATTGCTGGCAATGGAGGACACAGTGGGGGACTGTTTGTCTTCCCAAATCATGGAAAATTTTGTGCACCGTTTTCTGTGCTGGGCGCCAGGGCAGAGTTCTCGTGGAAATGGCGCCCTGGGTGCAATCAGAACTGCAGGAACTTTCACTCGGTGTTTAGTCAGCGCTCGGTCATGATCGATCGCCATGTTAAGCAACTTTTGAATCAAGTCACAAAAATGGTAAATCTTTTCATGCATTTGTAAGTAAATTGTGTGCCAATCAAAAGAATTGACAGTGACAGAGATTTGTGGGTGCAAAATATGGAACTTCCTGCAGGTGAACTGCCTCTGCCGCACGCTGCTTGTTACTTGGTGCTCACGCATCGCTTCAGGAGAATAAGTTCAGATTCAGTTCCCATCGATCACAGCTCGAAAATGCACACAATGCTGACCTCGTCATGTACTTCCTCTTGTGCATATCGTACGAATTGGTGGTGATTCAACTTGGATCGAGGTTTTGAGAATGGGTGTATGAATTGCAGGTGAAACAAAGCAAATCGTAATTTTCGTGCCCATCAGCTGGTGTCTGGGGCACAATACGTCTAAGAGGCTCCGAGTGAGAAGACTCCACAATTTGTATTCAATGAAGAGAGCAGAAATTTTCACAAAACTCAAGCATCATCAATGGGATTTGAATTACACATTCAAGCAGCCTACCGCTGTTTGATCAGGGCCTGACATTAATGATACTATGATACCAGCGGCAGATATTAGCGCACGGATAACACAAGATTCCCCTTCAAACGGGCAACCTCCCCTGCGGATCGCCAACGACCGATACGACAGCTGCCGATAGAGCCCAACCGCGCACGCCCCACTAATCTCTGTGAACTCACACGCATCCCACACTCATAGGCATATTCGAAGTCAATGCCGCATCAACGTACTGCCAACAAGTGCAACACAGTGCAGGCGTGCTTTTGTTCACTCGGACCCTGGCGTGGGGGATGGATCGGCTGGGGCTGGGCACTCACACGCTCATGAGCTTGGGTCCATCAAATCCCACCGCGGCGGCCAGCGTGTTCGTCTCCAGCACTCCAATGAACCCGTCGATGACCTGCTGCTGGCACAGGCCTGCGCGCGCACACACCACGTCAGAATCGCGCCTCACTGAGCTCCCCATTCCGCATCCCCATGGATCCGCATCCCCATGGATCCGCATTCGCATGGATCCGCAAGGGCGATGCGCGCTCCCACAAACTCATCCTGCTCTGCGTCCACAACCGCGCCCCATTCTTGCCCACGCCCGCGGCCCACCACCTTGGCGAACGGGACGGCCTTGCCACACCCAGAGGCCGCCTGTCCGCGAGTAAGGAACGGCTCCGTGCGTGCGACATAGTCAATCGGCTCTGGGCGCACGCCTCGCCATGTTGTATCAAGAGTGCGCCCATTGTAATGGGAAACAAACCGGCGATTCAGAGGGCGCATCCGGAGAAGGAGCAAGCTGGAATTCCAGCGACCGGGGAGCGCGCACGTCATCCATCGCTGTGGACCACTCACATCCCGCGAGGTCTCCGCCCTGGCTGATGCCCGTCGTGGAGGCGATGGCGCTGCAGCAGCTGGCGGAGGGCGAGCTGCCCAGGGCGCAGGGCGTGAAGGTGCTCTGCAGGCTGTCCTCGCCGATCCTGTCGAAGGTGGCGTCGCACTCCTCGAAGGTTGGGATCTGGCCTGCAGGAACAAAAGCCGCCGGGTGTTCTCAAAAAAGGACGCACGTCGGCAGACAGGCGCGTACCCAGGAACGATGGCGCGAGAAAGAAAGAGCCGCGGATGGTTCGGGCACCGGGCAACGCCCAAGCCGCGGCCCGTGGGCACCGTCTCCAATCCCGCCCCACCGGGCTTCCCAGTGCCCATAATACACACGCCAAATCCACGTGAATCCGGTTCATTCCCATGCCGATCCATGCCCATCGCTCGTGGGCCCCCGCCCGGACGATCCCATGCAGCGCCACTGCCCAGGGAATGGGCACCCGCGGGGGACGCGCGCGTCACCGTTGTGCAACAAAACGCTGTGGGTTGAATCCACATGCGCTGAACGGCACTGCGATGGGCACCCGCTCTGCCCCGTCCACAAGCCTCGGCGCGCCCTTGGACATCCACTCACCGTTGCACACCGCCACCATGGCCACCGCCAGGCAAACAGCCGCCAGGAACCGCCCCATCTTCGTCTTCGCCTCCCGGACTTCTTTCTAGGGCGGCAAGAGAGCCCAACCGAGGGTGGGACAGCCCTTTGTTTTCACTCTCTCGGTGGACGCCCTTCCTCGCTCCCACCTCGCTTTCTTTCCGCCCGGCCAACAGGAAGCGGCGGCCCTCCACGGCGCCCGGCACTTATACGAGGTACACGGATTGCCCATGCGGGCCCAAGGGATGGGGTGACTGCCCGCAGACGTCCCATCGCCAAATCCCGTGACAGATTAGCGAAGCCAGGGATTCCATCGAGCGCCCATTCCAATGAATCCGTGGGCGGCTGCGGCTCCTCATGGCGCACCGGCAGGGGCACGCTGTACCTGCCATGAAGCGCGGGCACGCAATCGGCTGCCCATGTCCACAGTGGCGCCGGGATGGATTTCGCGAAGCAAATGAACTCCGCGCGGAATTCTGTCGTTGGCGCTGAGCCCCAGCGCGCAGTGTTAGCGGAGCGTAATGGCCACGTCATGGCGTGAAATGACATGTAACGGCAATACAAGCGGCGGGAGTCGGAACCCGTTCACGTGCGCTCCGGGACCAATCTGCCCTTCATTCAGTCGGTAAAGCATGCACGCCATTCAAGCAAAACGTAAATTGCCGAGGAGTACATCGGAATTGCCCGCGCTCTTTCTTTCCGATCCAGGTACGGAAAAGTTTTGAAATGCGGCGGTGTGATTGCCCCTGGCTTCGTTTTCCGTACATCAGCGCAGACAGAGGTACGCATGGTATGGAGCATTTGAGGGACCCCGGGGCCCCTTCGAGGGCCCTCGATTTCGAGGGACGCTGTCTGGTGGGGTATCTGCCGTTGGGGTACAGCGGAACTGACGGCTCTCTGGATTGAGGTGGGTACGGGAGAGCAAAAGTGAAGGTCACCCTCGCCACCGCCCAGCTCCCGAGAGCTTGTCCCAGTGAATCATGTAATCGTCCAATGACTGATTCAATGGCCCCAAAAGAGGAAAAGAAATTGGAAAACCAAGTTCTCTCCTAACTTCAACTCCATTAACTGATTCCTAAACCCCCCTTAGAAGCGTGTAACGATTGCGCCAATAGACTGTGCTTCATTCACATACACTTGCCGACTGCAGGTTTCGAGGAAATGCGCTACCTCGCCAAAACTTTTTCTGCAAGAGGTCCCTTGTCATGTTCATGGAATGGGAGGATTGGGGCAAGTTTCCGTTTTGCGCAAGTTTTTAATGTGTGGCTTCTGTGGACAGCGATCTTTGAAACGCGCACACATGCACTGGCAGTTAATATTTTGTCATTTTAATCTGCTTCTTGTCCCGGGCCGCCAATGAATCTCCGTGAATGTTGAGGGAAAGTGGATTTCACGCCTCGCCATGCTGTTCTTAAACTACTTTGCCCTATCACACCCGCATGCATTCGCGCGTGCATGTGAGTGCATGTGTGCGCACACATGCCCATAAGCACTGGTAAAAAGCCATGTAAATTGAGTAAATCGATTGAAAATCGTGGAAAATCGTGTTAAATTATGTACTATTGGTGTATTTATCGTACGGAAAATGGGCCAAACCTTGCGGTAACGATTGAGTGAGTGTACGTGATTTCTACACGTTTTGTCACGGTTTTGCCCGGTTTTTACACGCCTCGAGACCTCGTGTTTTGCATTTTTTTTACTTGCGATGTGCACAAGTGCGTGCGGAATGCTATCTGATTTTGGGGTCATCAAATGAGCATGCCACGGTGGCTCTTGATATGCTTTGCGGACAGCAGACAACCTGATTGCCATCCCACTCTCGGCTCTCCTGCGATCCTCGTACCTATGGGCGCATTACCAAAACGCCTCGTTCCATAATTTAAATTGACCCACCGACAACGAAACTTTCATTCCAGGAGGCACGCCTGCGATTTATGCATAAAAACTGGCAAAGCAAGTCAATTTCCGGGCCGGTCAAGCTGAATGCGTTCCTGTTGTCGATGTGCTTATTCACTCAGTAGATAGAAGCCGTCCCGACAAGCGTCGTGACGTCATCAAATGCCCTGCTACCCTGATACATCAAAGCTCCCCTGCAGCAAGCTTCTCTGTCGGTTCTGCGACGATTCCCTCCCAAACACCAGCCCTTCAACACGGCGATGTGCCAGCACCACGCCGAGCTGAGCCCAGAGTGCTCCACGGGACAGCAGCGGCGCACATAGCGCGCGGGGGAGTGTGGCGTGCCAGGATGCGCAAGACCTCCTCACGGGGCGGCGCTGCCTGCGAAGGTGTGGAGGGCTATCTCCGCCCAAGGGCGTCGAGGATGTCGCTCACGAATGAACCCAAGTCTGGGTTACAGACGCATCATGTACAGCAGTCAGAGTTTCAATGGGCAGAATGAATTGAGACGCAATAACCTTTTGCGGCAAAAGCTCCGGCAATGCGGTGCATTGTGGTAGCGATCCCATACCCGCTGCAGCGCCGAGAGAAAATCGCTGTGAGTGAGTAATGCGACATTTTGTTAGAAAACTGGACAGTACAGAAAACATGATGCAAGGTTTTCCCAGCTCAGCGTATTTCAGCACCAGGGAAAAGGAGCATTTTAGCGATACCAAATGCTGTGCCATTTGACAATCAGTAGTGCCACCGCAGCTCCTTTTGCACCACCGCAAGCGCTGTAATGGCGTCACGTGGTGTCAAAATGGCATGGCAATTTGATCGCGAAAGGGGTGATTGATGCTGATTCCAGACGTGTTTCGAAATACTCTAGGAAAAAGCAGGCCAGATGACACAGTCCTGACATTGTCTGATCAAAATCCAACTGTGTGCTTTCGGCAAACGTGGTCCCAAAGCCACACAGTTAGTACACACATTGTCACAGTTTCAACCATGTACGTACACGGCATACCCTCAAACAACTATGTAGACTACACGGTTTTCTAGGATGCACGATTAAATTGCGTCAATGTGTGTACTAACTGTGTATTTTTGGGACCGCATTTGCCGAAAGTACACAGTTGGATTTTGAGCAGACCATGTCAGGACTGTGCCATCTGAACTGTTTTTATTAGTGATAGATGATACTGGTTTTGTAATGCCGATGGTAATTGAATTCTCCAGTGGCAGGCATTGATCTGCACCGGAGGATGGGATAAACCAATACAAGTGAGTACATTTTAATCATTGATAATTAATTCATCAGCGCAGATATCAGTACTGATTATCCAGACGTCAGAGAAGCCAGTATTACAGTAGTGATGGCCAGCGAGATGCTCGTTGAATGCATGGCTTGCTTGACCAACTGTCTGCCCCTAATGACCTGTGAATGTGGTCAGAAAGTGCCCAAACAGCCACGAATTAATGTCTGTCGCTATACAGCAAGTATTGGCAAAAGGCGCGAATTATAGAATATTATTGAGCGGAAATCCACAAGATGTTTTGAGTGCATGATGCGGGCAATGCCTGCTTTCCTCCGCGGGCACTGACCTGAATTGCCTGCCAGCGGCTGACTGGAGGCGGTCGCGACGCCGTCGTCGGGCGTCAGCACCACCTCGTAGTTCACTCCCGGCTGGGCGTTCTCGATCAAGTACTGCACGCCATTCGGCCCCGTCACAATCACCTCTTCAGTGCCCCCGCCCGCTCCCTCGGACGCTGCCTGGGGCCCGAAATTCCCAACGGGTTGCTCAAATGTTTGCCCAGCTTGGGTCCCAAATGAAGGCTCAACAGAGGGAGTGGCTTGTGGTGTAGCTGAAGGAGCAACTTGAGGCGTAACTGGGGCTGCAACTGGTGAGGCGACTGGGGAGGTAACGGGGGGCGCAACAGGGGACGTCACAGGGGGACTGGCTGGGGGCGTAACGGGGGGCGTGACTGAGGGCTCGGCAGGCGGCTCTGTGGAGGCTGTGCTTTCAGCACTGGTTGCAGGCTCTGGAGAGGCCTCCTGTGTTTCGGTGGGGCCGGTAAGTTCGCGGGTGGCCTCAGGTGCGGGCACGGGGTTTGGGGAGGGCGGCGGCGGCGGCTGGATGCATCCGTTGTTGTCGACGTAGTCGGCGCCACAAGCGGTCAGCCTGAAAGCAACGCGATAGAGGGGTCAACCAGAGACACTGGACACAGTCACAGAGGGGTGGATCTATTATGCTTGTGGAAAATTGCACCGAAATCATTGCGTTACTGATATTGCTCGATTTGGTGTACTCTTAACGCGAACTGCAGTGCGTGGCGCGTGAATTTGTGCATTACCAGTACGGCAATGAACACTCGTTGTTCATCGAAAGCAAAAGTCAAGTCGCATTGAATTGGCAGCTAGGCGTTAGCGCTTCTCGCACGTTTTGCACACTGCGGCTGCTTGCAGTCCAATACAGGGGATGATCCACCCACCCACTGTTAAAGTGTTTGAATGTCTCGGCTGTGTGCATTTAGGCAGTGATCGTCCCCGTACTGACTGTTCATTGGAAGAGAAACAACGCATATTCGTGTTCATATGCAGCTTAGTCGGTGGCCGGTGGATCACGCAAGCTCTGTGTTTTCCGTGTCGCGCCCCGCGTTCGTTTCTACTCACGCGTTCATGAGCTTGGCTCCGCCAAATCCCACCGCGGTGGCCAGCGTGTTCCTCTCCAGCCCGCTGATGAAATCATCCACGACCTCCTGATGGCAGAGGCCTGCATTTCCACACTGCCGTCACAAAAGCTCCGCTCATCTACATGCATCGACATGCATGCGTGTGCACGCCCATACAATGACACTCTTCAGCACCGAGCCGCGTTGCTGCCTCTGCGCATTGTTCACTACCACCATGGCGCAGTTCCGCTGCGAGGGGCCCCAATTCAAAAACGGTCTGGGTGTCTCTGCTCCCAGCGCCATACTACAAACACTAGCAGTTTGTGTTTCCCTGGCATGCATGTGCCCGCCTGCACGTGCCTTACTGTTTTCCGGTCGGCCACGAGCTAACATGCTCGCTAGCCCTGAAAGCGAGAGTCGTTTTCGGGAGGCCTACTGCGATGTCATTTGACACTAACTGATGCCGTCACAACTCTGCTGTGCCACATC